TGCGTGGAAATCGCTGAACCGAAACTTCCGCCCCAAATATGTCGTTGACTTGTAGGCCGGTAGAATCTCTATCGACATACCATTTGCCACCGCATGGCTCGGTAATCTGCGCCTTCGTGATCTTCAGTAGCCAATGTGTAGTACATGTGTTTTGTCCGGGCGCAGGAAAAGACCAGATTTCGCAGCTTCAACACTGAAGTCACAAATCATACTCGTGATGTGTTCCAGCGAGCCTGACAGTAGCATGATGTCGACGGCGAAGCAAAGGTTGATGGGTCGTTCGCTCCCTGGTTGCAACGGGATCCCCATGTTCTTGCGCAGCCACTTTTGCTTGACGATTCGCACGATGTGCTCGGTAGTGCAGTTGAGGAGGAGCGAACTGGGAGGATCACCTTGTTTCGCGCCCCAGTCGATGTTGAATCCCACCAGCCCTTTAGGGCGTAGGTGGTCTAGAGAGTTTCCTCTGCCAACCCCCTTCTTCCCCTTCGGGGAGGGGTTTACCCCTCCCCTTACCCCTCCCCACTGACCTGGACGAGGCGTTCCGCGACGCGTTGGGACGTCCAAGATGGCCCAAGACAGCTCCAAGAGCGAAAATGCGAGAAAGCAAAAAACATTGATTTTACCTAGGTTTTGGAAGGATTTTGGCCTCTTGGGGGGGCCCAAGAGGCGATCCGAGGCACTCTAGAGGGGCGAGAGTAATTGAGGCTCCCCCCTTCTTTGATAGATCTCCTCCAAGATGGCCCCAAGTGCGCCCCGAAGGCTCCCAAGAGCGCCCCAAGAGCGCCCCAAGAGCGCCCCAGAGACCCCAAGAGGCCCCCAAGAAGCCTCTAAGAGGCTGCCAAGAGACCCCCAAGAGGCCCCAAGAGAGTCCAAGATGGCCCAAGACGGCTCCAAGAGCGAAAAGGCGAGAAAGCAAAAAACATTGATTTTCCTTAGGTTTTGGAAGGATTTTGGCCTCTTGGGGGGCCCAAGAGGCGACTCGAGGCACTCTAGAGGGGCAGCGCTAATATACGACCCTCCCTTCTTTGATCGATCTCCTCCAAGATGGCCCCAAGAGCGCCCCGAAGGCTCCCAAGAGCGCCCCAAGAGCGCCCCAAGAGCGCCCCAAGAGGGCCCCAAGAGGCCCCAAGAGGCCCCCAAGATGCCCCCAAGAGGCTCCCAAGAGACCCCCAAGAGGCCCCAAGATGCTCCCAAGATGGCCCAAGACGGCTCCAAGAGCGAAAAGGCGAGAAAGCAAAAAACATTGATTTTCCTTAGGTTTTGGACGGATTTTGGCCTCTAGGAAGGCCCAAGAGGCGATTCGAGGCACTCTAGAGGGGCAACGCTAATAAGCAACCCCCCCTTCTTGATAGATCTCCTCCAAGATGGCCCCAAGAGCGCCCCGAAGGCTCCCAAGAGCGCCCCAAGAGCGCCCCAAGAGGGCCCCAAGAGGCCCCAAGAGGCCCCCAAGAGGCCTCCAAGAGGCCTCCAAGAGACTCTCAAAAGGACACAAGAAGCTCCCCGAGATACGCAAGAGGCCCCCGGGACCGCCAAGAGGCCCCAAAGACGGCCCAAGAGGCCCCCAAGCTCGCCATTGTCCTCCTCCTCCTCCTCTTTTTCTCCTTCCTCCCTCCTCCCCCTCCCCCTCCTCCTCCTCCTCCTTCTCCTCCTCCTCCTCCTCCTTCTCGTCCTCCTCGTCCTCGCCCTCCTCCATCTCCTCCTCCTCATCTTCCTCCTCCTCCTCCTCCTCTTCCTCCTCCCCCTCCTCCTCCTGCTCCTCCTCCTGCTCCTCGTCTTCCTCCTCCTACTCCGACGACGACGACTCCTCCTACATCCTCCCCCTCTTGGAACGTATGGCGGCTTAACCCGCTCTTTGTTCTTCTGCATGCTCCCCCGCTTCCCTCATCACCTCCACTCCTCTGGGGCTCATTTCTGGACGGGCTGGTGGGGATACGCGAAGCGTCTAGAATGTCCTGCTGCATTTGTCTGTCCAGATCGACGCAGTCTGTCCGCTGTACAAGTCTGCGAGCAAGTGCACGGATGCACGTGGCGTTCCCTGTTGGAGCAGGGAATCCCAAATACTCTGGTGGCTGACGCTGTCGAAAGCTTCACCGCGGTCCAAACAGGTAGTGTCCACTCGTCGGTTTTTGTTCCTGATTCTGCGTGAGAGTGAACAGGTGGTCTGTCGCAATGCAGCTGGGTCGGAAACCCGCTTGGTCTGGGCTCTGTTGAGGATCGAAGATCGGAAGCAAACGGTTGCACATCAGATGAGATAACAACTCATATAGCATAGGGATTGTCGCAATCGGTCGGTAGTTATGAGGGCGCTGTGGGTCACCACTTTTGTACAAAACCTTGATCACTGCATGCTTCCAATTGTTTGGCGTCGGACTGCCGGGGCTTAGTATCCTGTTGAACGAACCAAACAAAACGTGCCGCAGAGTCTTCCCGCCGGATTTGAGCATCTCTGCTGCGATGCCTTCGGTGTCTGCTGCTCTGTTTGCTTTGAGTCCTTTCAAGGCGTATTCCGCTTCAGATATTGTGAAAGCTGGAATCGGGGGGTCGTCGGCAATCGTTGCTGCACGGGTTGGCTTGCGGGTATCTTGATACAGCTGCTCATAGAACGTAGCAAAAACATCCGCGATAGACTGTCTGTCGTTCCGTGCGCGCCCCTCTTGATCCAGCATGGTGGTGATTAGCTTGTTCTGTTTATACGTATTGGCTCCGCTGATGTTCTTCAGCTCCTGAGATTGTTCCGGGATGCGGTCAATTCGAGCTCTCTGCGTGGCCCGCCTGATGGCTCAGATCTCCTTCTTGATACGGGGCAGGTTTTAATACATAGGATGTTTAAAATAAAAGATTTGTAATTCAGTTTATGAATAAATTTATGCATGAACTCATCGTTGTTTTTAGTACTATATCCCTGCATTTTTAACACATGCTCCGCACGCGGAGCATGTATTAAAAACGGCACTGTAGCCTTGTTTAGTTGTCGTCGCTGCGTGGTGTCCGTTGGTGGGGCCGCGCGTCTGTCGCGCAACAGGCTGGTCAAGTGCTCTGTCGTTTGCTGCCGCCTCCTTCTGGTCGCCGCTGCGGTCGTCGCTCGCACTTCTGCCACGGTTGCTCTGATCGCGTCCTCGATCTCCGCGCACCCCAGCTGGAACCGGAGATCCGATCACATGTGATCCGATTTGTCCGTCAATACTGTCTCGTGCTGTGACAGGTCGCGCGGTGGCCGTTCAGGTGCGCATTTCCGCGCCTTTCGCTGCGTCGGTTGTGGAGCAGTCGGCGCCAGCATCTTCAAAGTCGCCCTGGTGGCTCTGTGGTCGGATCCCATATCGTTGTCGCATGTTGACTCGCAGTCGCGAGCTGCAGTCCATACCCTTTTGTTGACCAAGAACTGATCGATCTGTTTTCGAGCATCTTGTGGAGATGCATACGTGTAGACATGCTCCGGCCTTTTGCGGAAATACGTGTTGAGAAGTCGTAGTCGGTGCTGGGCGGCCCATTGGTTTAGCCACTGGCCGCGCACATTCATATCAGACATGCCGTGCGGCCCGATTGATTTATGGTTATCATCGTCCGTGGCCTGTCCAACCCTGGCGTTGCAATCCGCTCCAACTATAAACATAGTTTTTTTCCTCGCTACTGTGCGGCCTAATGGATTGGACAACTGCGGGAATATTGGACAACTGGCTGGTCGGGCACCGTAACGATTACGTCCTCAATAATGCGAGGCGTTGGGCGATTGTGGCCAAGCTGCGTCAAGTTTCTATCCTCCTCGCAGCTGACCTCGATGTGCGATGTGGCCGATCCCGAAAAGCTCTCGTGCTCGCGATTTGATGCATGGACCAATCGACCGAACAGTCAGTGGGTAAAGGCTGGGCCTTGACCACGTCGCGTTCGGGATCCGCCCTTAGGCATTTGCTCGCCAGCCACGAAGCAGCAGGAAGAGTGGTTCCGTCTGCCGTCAAGTTTTCCTCCCAAGGGTCCTATCCGATCTTAGGCTCGATTTCTTCATCATCGACTTCTGGCCAAACAGAAAAGAGTCAACGGCGGGCATGACATAGGCACGGCGGCTGGGTCAACATTCTTCCGAAGAGCGGGCCACCAATCAGGAGCCTTCGCGCCGTCTTCCTTCCACAATTTGCACGCGATGAACCCCCGTTTGAGGGGTTCATGAAATCGGAATTACGTTTCATAACGAAGGGGGGCTTGTCGCTCACATTCACTGCCTTCCATGAAGGGACGGATCCAGGATCCTTAGCGAAGTATGGAATACCTGCCCTTGACTTTGAGATTCGTAAGTCCTCCCTGTGAATTCACTACCTCTTATGCTGATCATATGATTTCATACTGAGGTCGGCAGCGATCGATGAATTCAAAAATTTCTCGTTCCATGTCTGCATCTGTTTTGCAAGTCCCCGCTTGCTAAGGCTGCCTTCGATCGCGAGAATCGCGGCCGTCTCCTGGGGCATGCACGTGCCTTGCGAATCCTGGGAACGGGTATGTTGCAGTGGGGGCAGAAACGCATACCTGAGCGGAAACTGTCAGTGAATGTGTGCGTATATACATGTATATGGGCGTGTGCCTCCCATCATCTTTCTACGGTTGATTGCATATATATATATATATGGATTATTGTGTTCGCGATCGTGTGCGCGCCCGCAGTCTGGCAAAAGTTTTCATCGGATTGAAGGTATGCCACGATCGTGTTTGGGTCGGAATGAACCTCTTGATTGACCCAGTTGTGGTCGAACTGTTTGGCCCACCCTGTACTCGGTCCATTTGAATTGGGTCGAAAAACAATGACCTTTACAATGTCGGTCACATTTGGGCCTTTGTTTGGTAATCACCGTTCCGTCAGGAGTCACTCGGAACTTGTTGCAAAGATACACCTTATCGTGGAAGAGCATAACGCTCCTCCTCCTCCTCCTCCTCGTCCTCCTCCTCCTCCTCCTCCTCCTCCTCCTCCTCCTCCGCATGCCCAGCCCCGCGCCCGTGCTACTGCGCCCATCGAC